GTATTTCAGTCACATTCAAAATGTGTTTGAAAAATACAGTTGTTCAATAACGCTCAGTTGGAGCAATTCTATTTTGATGGAGATTTTCTGACTTGACTCCCAAATTCAGCTGATCTAGATATGTGGCTAGGCAGCATAACTACTATGAAACCCTCCCCTATCACAAATGCTTATTGCCTTTGCAAATAACTGGTTGTCAGAGGGGTTTACAGATTTGTAACTCAGACAACAATCAGATCAGTGTTTATCTAACCCAGAGGCAATTCTGTATCTGAGGCTACCCTCTGCATTTAGTTCATCATAATTTTCCTCCTAATGTGGAATGTTATTGTCTGAAGGAAGTTTATGGCTTTTTCTGTTTAAAAATACAGACTATCTTGATGGGTGGCTTGGAAGATGCTACAGAATACTACATATCCTGTCTCTTCCCTAAAGGGTTTTTGGCCATGACCTCACCTTTGTATATTTATCTCAGGTATAGCAATGTCAGTATCACTGCTAATATCACGGAACCAGGACTTCCCAGGAGCTTGGAGATGGGGCCATGCAAGTCAAGTGCAAGTCAGGTAGCTGGTTCTCTCCTAATACACAAGGGTGATACAATCCACAATTTAACTTAAATACTATAAAGGACATTTTGACAGTGTATGCCAAGAAAGGGATCTTAATACTTTAGATGTTACTGGAAGTATCCCTGTGGTAAGAACAGTAGATTTGGATGAAAGCTCAACCTCTTCTGAAGTGTTACCACTTGTAGTGAACTATCTCAAAGTATAAATTTTTGATATATAACCAGAAAAAAGACCTAGCAGTTGCCTTATAGCTCTTTTCAAAGATAAACATAGATGAAGCATATAGCATTTTAGAGTTTAGCTGAATATACTCAGTTCTAGAAATATTTAATGCAACTTTTAAAAGACTTTCTGAGCTTCTCTGAAATTCAAAAATTCAGTGAATACAGGAAAAATCCTGATGGATAATTTTCAGATAAAATGTTACAGAGTGCTTGATGAGATCACTGAATCCACTCCTTAAGTGGAGTCTGCTCAACTAGAAACAGCAGTCCAAGATCTAGTCTCACCAATGACCTCTCCATGAAAATTAATTAATTGGCATGTGCTGTGTTTTGTTAAGGAATGGGAATAAGATGCTTCATGAATATGCATTAGATGCTTGTTGAAGTCAAGAGGTCTTCTTTTTTAACTACCTCTGTTTTCCCAATCAAGGCACGCTAGAGGTATATAATGAAGTTGTAAGTAAATAGAATTTTAGTTATTAGGAATAGCTGGAGGAAAAAAGAAAAAGATGGAAAATATTGCTTTTACTTGCTGAAAACTATTTACATGTTATACCTCATCATTCATAACCACTGTATTTGAATATGTGGAGACAGTAAGTTTTTTGGGTCCTGATATTAACATTGTGAAGCAGAAACAAAAGCATAAAATGAACTATTACTTATGTTTAGAAGTTATTTATACGCTGAGAATACATATCTAGAAGGGAAAATGACTGCTTAGCAATAAAAATAATTTTGTATTTCAGTGTAACAGCATCTTATCCTATAATATGTGCTCCTGTGAGTAGCCTATATTCGCCTTGCCAGTCCTGGTAACTTCTATGTGACTTTGTGTACGAGAAGGTTGTAGGACTAAAGTGACAAAGTATCGTTATTTTTAAGGGACAAACCTCTGCACTCATAATCACAAGTGCAGAACAAGGCAAGTCAGCCCAGAATGGAGCTATATCTGCAGCAGCACGACTGAAGATTATATTGGCCAGTTTTAGCACTGCTCCTTAGGCGCATGCTGTAAAATGTTTAAGAGGAAGCAGGAGAGTGGGAGCTGGGAGGGAGTTCAAAACGTCAAAAAAGTCTTAGTAGACAAAAAAGAAACAGAGAAAAAGAGCAGAAGTAAATTAATCTCCCTGAAGTATATTACATAAGGGGAAATGCCTGGTAGTCGTTATTTGCTGTAACAACTCAAGACAAATGAGCAGCCAGTGTGTTAGTTCTGATGAAGGACATGCAAGAAAGACAATGGCTTTCCATTTTTAAGTTAATCAGTACCCAAGTGATGTATTTCTGAAAAATAATAAAATGGATTAATCAGGAGCCAGGGGAAAGAAGAGGGCAGACATTTTATTTCCACCACGTGTAGATGAAATATACATAACATAATAAAGGGCTGCTGTCGACTATCTGCAGGAAGAGCACCTGGAAGATTAAAGCTGTGGACATAACATTAACAAAGTACAGACCACACTGAATTAATGAGCACTGGAGATAGACATTCAGTGGAGTCTTAATTTATTTTCCTTTTCTAGCTCATCCTTTAAGAAAATGACAGTGTCTTCTTATCGATTTTACACTCAGAGATCAATCAGAATTGCCCTGACTCAGACAAAATTTACAGCACTCCCTGACAGTGCCTCGAGCATCTGGGCCTAAACAGACATTACAAGGAAGCAATATATCATGTTTGTATGTAGAGCTTGACATGCTTAAAAATAAGCTAATCTGTAGTGGAATTTCCTTCTTTTTGACAAGTTGCTCTGCCCAGCTCTTCGGCCCCTTGTTATGAATTTCTCTCCTAGCTCTACTATTAATTGTAACATGCACATAGGATTCATGTATTTAGACCCTGAGGGAGGTCATCTGCTCTGCAGTTTTAGATAAAATATAAACTAACAGATCACTCCTACTTAAACAATATGAAATGTCACTCTGATGCACTCCATAAAAAAAAGCTAGAAGTGTTCCGTCAAGAGCTATGATCAATTCTGACAACCCAACAATATCAGAGCTAAATGATGGGCCTCTACATTCCCAAACAGCCCTCCATGGAAATTGCTGCATCCGGAAGCTCTTTTGTGCAAGTAACTAGCTGTATTAAATGCAATAATTACAGAAAAGTCACAAGCTGTGATGTTTAGGCAGTAGTTGGCTAAGGTAACTTACCTCCACACTACAATTCATCTTCTACCTAGGGATTGCCTCCCAGCTGACTTTTTACACTAAAGGAGGAAGAATGGTCTCTTCTGCACTACAGACCTCAAGACCTGAGAGTCCCTTGTGGGCTCAAAGAAGAGACCTGTTTTACAAAATATTTCCTGCATTTCACTTGAAGAAAAATATCAAGACCAGTGTTGACAAAGAGCTAGCACATATCTGAGAAGGACTGAGGATCAGCAGGTTTTTGTAAATTCAAGTCTGTCATCTCCTTCAGGAAGTGATTCATTGGTCACTTCAGTACCTAAAGGAAGCATTGAGGGACTAAGCTAAAATACATAGGGAATGACCCAAATCCAGCATATTTTCTTTTTCATCTTTGAACATCTGATAAAACACAGGGGCAGGGGAGTTCCCTTTAGACATTACACGTTTTCAATGTGTATCAGAAACCCCTGTTCCCTTCGCTTTCCTTAGGAGAACTGGGAAGTTCAGCACATCACAAGGTTCAACCACTTAGTATTAAAGGACTTAAAAATCTGTGTAGTATAACTGGAGTGCCTGCCAGTATAGCATAAAACATTCCTCTTCCTTGGAACAAGCCTGAGTGCTCCTACACTGCTAAGAGATAAGAATCTGTACATATCCATCCGTGTATGCAGCCATCAATTTTAACTTCACTCAGTGAAACAGCTGTTTCTGTTTTACACACCGTACTGCTTTCTTACATACTAGATGGGATTTTATTTACATTTGATATTCAAGTGAGATCTTTCTTTGGTCCACGAAAACAACAACAGCAAAAGTATTCTTATGTATGTTAACATGAACCTGGTTGAACTCGCCTCTATGACATTCAAGAAGCCACAGAAAACAATTTCAAGACTTTGAACTGCTCTTATTACATTTGTAGTTCATTAAGGGTCCTGCACACATTTCATTGTGTTAAAAACTAATAAAAAAAATATAAACTCTTCTTATTTGTGCCAGCAGAACATAAGCTGTTGCCAAAGGTTTGAAAACACTCATCATAGTGGACAATTCTGCTGTTTTCCCATGTCCTAACTCCTCATGCTAGTGGAAGTAAAAACATGTAATTTTTGGACTCATCTTGAAACAAGGATGGAGGAACAAAGCTGATACCAAATGGTTAGCAAGATAAAATGATACCTGACTTGCAATCCAAACTCAGAAACACAGAAATATGACAACGTGCAGAAAAACAAATGTTACATGGTTTATTTATGACACCTCAGTCTGATTTGCCCTCAAGTACTATGATAGTAAATTACTATCGTTTCAAAAACCAGTATGACGAGCACTGATTTGTTTTATGTTTTCTCCTTTCCCTTCATTTGTGATTGTCTGACACAGTGGGACCAACCCTCAAGAAGTTAGAAAGATATCATCTTCCATGAGGGATATTTCATTTATTTTCCCTGCAGGTGTCCTTTCCTCTGATACTGTCTCTGCCTCTTTTAGCCTCTGGTTCTCCTTTCTTATAGGATAGTTTCATGCTATCTGAGCACCTGGCTGCTCTCAGCATAAGCCTGAAAAGAAATCAGTATTTTCTCTCAAAATAGGGAAAGGGACAAGTTCTAAATTAAATCAGTTTTCTTTGACTTCGGCATTCGCAGACTCTAACACGGACCTTTGACATGACCAGCAGATTATACAACAGGACACTGAACTGGCTTTGTCTTCCAAGAGACCACACACTCTGACTAAAGCCAAGGGCACACTTTTTAATACATAAAAATAATTGTTGATAAACCCTACCAACAAAGTCTGGGTTTAGGTTAAAGATTTCAAATACAACTAGTAATCTAGTTGTGTCTAGGATGTGTCTGCTTTTGTCAAACTAATCTGAAATCTCTTAAAGAAAAGTAATCTCAGATGATGTTGAGTACACAAGCATAGAAAATCTGGACTGTTTAAAGATACTGTAAATTATCCAGACCAAAGTTTCTCACTGGATCTCAGGGCTCAGTTCTCATTCCTGACCCTGCCTCAGACTAATCAGTGTGACAACGGACAGTTCATTGCTTACCTTTTGAGCCCTAAAAATTACCAGTCTCAGCCGACCACCTTCAGCAAACTTGAAGAGAAAGGTTGGACCCCGGAAGGAAATTCATGCCAGCCTTATTTTTGAACTCCTAAACCAATTCATCGCTTTTAAAGATAGTCAGGGTTGTTCAGTTTGCCTTCTGTGCCATAGGAGTGACGGAAGGTCTGTACTGGCAGACACATGAGGAGGAGAGTTCTCTGGTGATGCTGTGCTTCTATAGCATGAGTCAGATGAGGGAAATGTATCCACTGGATTCCAGCCTCACAAGATCTTCTAAATCCCTGAGAGATTCGTTGGTACTACCTGAGACAGCAAAGAAAACCATAAAACTTCATCTGTTTCTAAAAGGAAACATTCACTTTCATGGCTAGGTATACAACTTATAATAATTTGCATTTATTGTGACATTCTCCTAAGTAGCAGACAACAGTCTTCATGAAGTTTTTAAGCTATACTTACTAGTAAACCAGAAGACCTACCGTATTGTTCTCTCTTTACAGATATAACTTTTGGTACTTGTTTCTATTTCTTTTAATATATTTTTATATATATTTTTCAAGCTGATATAATTTTCCAAAGTAAAAACCTTTCTATTATCACATTTAAAGAAATGCGTTATTGGAAAAGCATCATATATGTTACACAGCTTGGTCAAGAATAAACTATAGGATTTATGTACCTTCTAAAACTTAAGTATACGTATTGGTTTAAATATTTCATAAAAGTTAGGTACTGTTAAATATTATAAGATCCTAAAGGAAATAATAGTTACTGCTACAGCATGTAAAACACATGATGGAAATGTTTACCTTTCAATGCACACATAATCTGTGTCAGAATTTCTTCACTAGTAAAAGAAGAAATACATCATATCTTCTCATGCAAAGGTAAGACCCTGTGTCTTTTCACTAGTCATGCAATGAATAACAGGTGGCATTGCTCTTGGTATTCTCTCTTGGGTGTTCTGCCATGCACACGACTGTCATTTCAGTTTACAGTTCAAATGCAACAACAGACCTTAGGCGGAGAGAACTTTTCTTTAATACCCCAGTGGATTTCACCTGCCACCTGCAGAAAATGACTATTTCTGACTGAACTGCAGTAAGTGCAGCATCACACGTCCTCCATATACCTGAACTAACTGTAGAACACATCGTGCAAGATCCACAACATAAACCAGAGTAAAAATGTGGATAATTCTGAAAGGTATCCCAGTACTTGTTCATTCTGGAAAAATCTCAGCATCCCCAAAGCACAAGGTCAGAGACAGAAGCACTGGAGTAGTTTGTCCTGAAGCCTGTTACACTTTCCAGAAATGTTGTAGCCCGCTAGAAGCTCGCCCTGCCCTAGAGCAACTACTCAGCATGGGCGGAGAGACCTCTTATCACCAGTTTTCAGTCCAGGATGCTAATCACACTACTGTTTGGGTTATTTACTAATTACATCATATAGATTTTCACTAGAATTCCCATTAAATTCCAAGAATTCTTGATGCTTAACTTTTTTTTTTTGTCCAGAAGTAAAGGAATGTGTGTTGTTCCTTAACAATTCAAAAACCAAGACAATTATCCAAAGGAAATTACAGTGTTTATAAAATGGTTTTATGTTACTGTCTGTTGACTTCTTATAATCTCTTTGCTGAAATGCAGTTTAATTGATCAAGTTATATTTAGTGTAAATTCATTGAAATTATGAATCTCACTTCCTGAGAGCTTAAGGGCATGTGTAGGCAAAGCTCCAATCAATCTATAAAACCACAATACAGCTACACAAAGAAATTAAAAAGAGTATTACTAGATTTATCAAAAATTAGTGGCCTCTGAGTAAAGATATTGGATACCCTACAAACCCTTAGCTCTTATGAAGAGGGATACTGAAAGAGAGTTAGGAAAATAAAATCATTATGGATGACTTTTATTGCAAAAATATATATGATATTGCAGAATATCACTCAAAAGGACAGATATTCTTGAGACTGGGCACAGTGATGGAGCAGTTGCAGTAGTTTGCAAAACCAAAGAGAAATTTCTACCTTTGTTGCTAGAGACCCACACTGCAGCAAAGAGGAAGATACTTTGCCAGTAAGTAGAAAGGCAGAGAATCAAAAAACAATTGCTTAGTTTCCTAAGGTTTTGTAAACCTGCTCACCTAACAACCACATTCTGTTTATAATTTGCACACAGAACCTAATGAACCATCTGTAATGCCGCGATTTGAAGCACAGTAAGCACCTTTCAAAAAATGTCACCAAAGGCCAAAACTCACTTCCTAGAGGCTACAGGTCTTACTCAGGTATTAGGTTTTCTTTCAGTCATTGACTGCACCTCCAGCTGGCCCATTGCAAATTTATTTTAACCAACAGTACATATTTCCTCCTCATCTAGGGAAAAAGTGCAAAGGCATCCAGAAGGGAAAAACCTCAAGAAAATATTTGGAAAATAAATAATCCATCTCTAAGAATCAGAGTACATGACTTTTCCAGGCAGCTGCACAGTTCATCATTTCATCACTTTATTACACCAAGTTTCTTATAATTTTAGTTAAGCCAAGGAATAAAATTTTATTCTAGGTAAGGTAAAAAGAAAAAAAGGAGTGAGAAACAAATGCTTCAGTCAATTTGGTCAGAATGAGTATGAGAGGTTGGCTGGTCCAGGACAGTAAAATTCTCCTACTTCCTTCTATGGAAGGGAGTGTCATCAGACAGCAACTTGCAGGGAGGCCTCAGCCACTGAGGTGTCAGTACAGCTACAGGGATTTTTTTTTTGCCTTTCCTTTTCCTTTAAAGGTTTATTAATCTATTTGAATAGGGGAATAGAACATGACAAGAAAAAAGAAACAGTATGAAAACAAAGGAGTTTTTTCTATTGCTTTTGAGAGGTTTCCTCTTTCGTTTACTGTACAAACTCCAGCTGCCCTGGTATTGCTGTGGGAGCACAGATTTTATTGGGTTTTTTTGTTTGTTTTACACTAAGCATATTTTTCTTTGTCTTATTTTCTAAGACAAAAAAATTAGAAACAAAAAAATTCACTTTTCAGGCATAGCTGTTGCACTGTAGCAGACTGAACTTACAGATACCTTCAAATATACTGCTAATTACATCAATGCTACCTCTTCAGCTGTAAAACTTTGTAACATGGAGTTTGGTAGGTTCTCAAATGCAGAAGTGTGGACAATGGTGGTGCGTATCAGACTGAAAATAAGGTAGGAATGTAATTATAGAGTAGTAACCGATACCAGAAGAAAAAGTCATAGCAGGCTAATGTGATAACTGACTGTATCATCCAATGAGTAGGAATACTAAGAATTCTGTATTAAAATGGTATTAGTAGTATATTAGGCTAACATGATATGACAAAAAAATTGCAAACAAAATACTATAATTTAGTCTAGGGCATAAATGTGAGGGAATAAAACCAAATATTGTCATAGAGAAACACCCTCTTTTCATTTAGAGGAACATGTGGAAATTTTGTGATACAATTTGCTGTCGTTTCATACTGATAAAGTTCATGAGAGATTACATATTGCTATGTGAATTGTAAATTAGTACAAATGATATCTTATATCTGCATATCATTTTTACTCCAAGGGATATCAAGGAGCTTTACAAACTTAAAGAGACATACAAAGCAATGTCTCCATGCTTATCATCAGCCTCTAACCTGCAGCTGAATAGATTCTCCAACAGTCCCCAGTTTTTTGATCAACCAAAGTTTTACCCAGCTGCTGATGGCATGATAAAACTTATAGAATGGTTGTCTTTTTGAACATTAAGTTTTCCCAGGAAAATAAAATCCCTCCAGTCTCCATATCAACCAAGTTCTGAAGAAGCTTCCATTTGCATGAAATAACTGGTAAAAAATTTATATACATGTAAAAAACCCCACATTAATTTATAAGAAATAGCATACAGATAATCTCTGTAATCTTGGAGTACAATCTTACTCTGAATACTAGAATCACAGAATCATAGAATGGTTTGGGTTGGAAGGGATTTTAAAGACTAGGTAGCTATAACCCCACCTTGCCATGGGAAAGGATATCTTTCACCAGACCAGGTTGCTCAGAGGCCCATGCAGCCTGGTCTTGAAAACTTCCAGGGATGGGGTATTCACAGCTTCTCTGGGCAACCCTGTTCCAGTCTCACCACCCCACAGGGAAGAATTTTTTCCTAATAACATTACTAAGGCACAAGAAAAATTCTCAGTGCATGTTGTTGTTTGACTCCTGTCATGCACACTCAGTTCAAACTTCAGCGATGTACCCACTTACCTTTTTGAGTAATAAATGACCAAGGACAAGGACACTTACAAGCCAGTTTCTGCTAAACACAGCTTAGAATCATTCATCACAGAGCTCATGTTGCCAAATTCCTGCTCATTGTCAGGAAACCTGAAAAACAGAATATGCATATTAAATACATACACACAAATACACTGGTACTTTAGAAATGGATGGATTTCATCAGGCCTTCATTTATAAACTCAGCAAGACTTAATGACATTCCACCACAAAATGGCTAAGGATATGTTAGTACGTATTTCTCTCCGAATGCATTTATATGCTTATACTTTGCAAGCCTAGTGGATTAATGTAGCGCTCAAACCAGTGGCAAAATTCTGACCTCTAATTTTACAATTATTTTATGATATTTGTGCACAATAAAGGAGATCAAGTAACCAGAATTATTTGTCTATAGGATTAAAAATCCTATTGACAACATACGCAAGCATACCAGTGCAGCAAGGCAGCAGTCTCCAGTAGTTCAGCAACTAACGTATTCATTTAAGGGTGTATTCAGGACAACAGTGTAGTCACAGATCACAATATTTACTTGCAGTGACAATGTTAACATTATGCCATTTATAGCACTAAAGGCAAAGAATCAACACTGAAATCAATGCAACAGCTAAGTCTTACAAAACACCATTCAAAAAAGAACTAACACAAAACTCTGGACAAGATTACACAGTACTTCCTTGTTTCTGTTCATCCACTTTACACTATCTGGAATTTTCCATTTTACGTATGGAGACAAACTTCTTTTTGTGTCACGAAACTTCTTCAGCCCCACAGATGGTGTTTCACTATCACTACAAAGTGAGTGCAGCAAATGCCTCGAATTTTGTGCTTTATAAGCACATCGTAATCATTAGAACCCTTCAACTCATTCCTCTCTGTCCCTCATCCCAGTGAATCAGCCACCACTTCTGTTATTTTGATGCTTTACTGAACCCGCATTGCCCCATCCCAAATCCTTGGCCTCACTCTGCAGCTACACTATTCTCATTGTTCCAAGTTAAAACTCCCTCCTTACCTTTGGGCTCCATCAGTGCCAGTTTTCTTCAGCTAGTGATTCACTTCCGCACATCAGTAATTCTAGGTTTGAATATCCACTTGTTCACTGCTGCCACATCATCGAGTTACTTTCTGAAGAACATAACTCCATTCCGAGGTGATGCCGTCATTCTCACTGTCAGGGTTCCTGTGCGACGCTCACAGAGTATGTTGAGGGAGAACAGGCTGTACTTGACAATATGTATGTACTGTAAACACAAATATGAGAAGAGGTTCCCAATCTTTTATTCCTGGATTTCTCTCTGCAGTCACTTTCCCCGTCTAAATTGTTCTGATTGAAAAAAAACCATTAATTTTATGTTGAGGTAATTTTCATGGTTGTATTCTTTCCCTCTACAGAGGTAGGGGTATGGATAGCTTCCTTTCTCTCTCCTCCCCCAAAACTATCAGTAAAATTAGAGCTTGGAGACGATCTATGTGTGTGCATGTGCATGTGCATATATACTGTGTTTGTAGATGCAATGACTTACACATGGAGATCATGAGTACTTTATGCTGGCTTCTATGCTGTAGTATAGAACAGAAACTCAAACGAGGAAGTGACTCAATATGCAAATTTATGAGGGAACTATAGATTCAAAGACTTCTGCCATTTTCTAAAACAGAGAAAATAAAGTTTTTTCATTGTTTTGAAACAGAATCACACTGCCATACAGTATTTCAGTGATGCTTGTCTCTTGCAAATAAAAAAACCCATGACAATACAACTGGGGAAATACTTTGCTTTACTGAAGAGCACAGCGGTAAATAAATCACTACAACACATCAAAAGTACTAAAATCATCAGAAATCTTGATCAGAAGATAGTTTTTTTAATTGGCGAAAGAAAAGAATTGACAAGGAGTAAAATAAATCCTTTCAATATTTTATGTCGTTGCAACAGAATTCTTAACTGCAGGGGGTAGAACGATGCATCCATTTACACTTACACTACCATATTAGGGAATGACTAAATTACTTGTAGAGCCCTTTCCATGTCACCACTTATGAGTAACGATATAATTTCCTAAATCACATAAATAAATACACAGAGTAAATTCTTTGAATTCTGTAATTTTTTGTATCCTGTATTATAAAAATAAATTAGAATGGTCATTTTTATAGAATTCAATTTTATTTTCAGCACAGGAGCACATTCAAACATTTGCATCCTATTATTGTTGAAACCAAAACCCAACTAGATTATATGTAGCTTGTGAATTATATTTTTCTTTAACTATGTCTGTATTTACAAGAAAATAGCTGCAATTCCTGTTCTAATGCAAGGAAATTTTAACATTTACCTTTATTTATAGTGCCCTCAGTATTAAAAAATATTTTATGCCTAAATGTTCAGAAAAGCTAAGACTCTTTAAAAATACATTTTGTAAAGGTATGATGATTTGAATTATCATAGCTGCTAAGATTTTGTAGATTTATTTCCATGTCTTAAAAAGGAATCTCATATTATTAGTGAAGATAATGTATGTGTCAAAAAAGAGGCATCAAAAGCACTTCCTGTGCACTTGACAGGGTGACAAAATATTTCTCCTATCCTTTCCTAATTGAGCTGCTGTACAAAGGGAGACATTATGATAATATTAATAATAGTTACATGGATATTTGTAGGTACTGTGTAACCCTTCAGTCCATTTTTCCAGACAATGGTGACTACAAAAAGGCTTCAAAATAGAACATCACACAATATGAATGCCACTTTTTTCTATCTTACATTTTAAAAACATCATTGAAATCAGAAAGTTCATTTACAAAGGACTGGCAGTTGCAATCACAGCAATAATGTAGTGCTGAGAAAAAAAGGGTAATTGGTTTGGTAAAGATCGCTTTCCATTACACCATAAAGCACTACACAATAGGAAAGGTCGCCAATTAAGCAATCATGAATACCAAGTACTGAAGCTGATGAAAATAGGGCAGTGGTTTAAATAGATTTGCAAGCAATTTACCTTTTCACAATGTTGGCAATCTGATGCAATTTGCTTGCAATTTTGTCTGCTTTCAGTAGCACTCGAAGCTGACACTACACAGACCAAATGGCAAAGAGGCCTGCATAGAAAATGTAAAACTATCTTGGCTGCATCAGGGAACCAGAATGGTGGTTCATCAGGAAAATTACAACAATTAACATAAGTGCTGCAAAAATCAACACTTTAAATGTCACACTCACTAGTCTGTCCAAAGACTGTAAAAGTACCATCTCCATTGCTGGACTAACAGTAAATATGAAGCAATCACCAACAAGCCTTGAGGCTGATGGCTTTACAATTGATGTGACATTCTCTGAGTGATAAAATAGCCTCTCGTTTTACAAAAGTAAGTATTTTTCTTTTTCAGATTTAACCTGGATTATGTCAACCCAAAACTTATATTTATTTTTTTTCAACTCTTCTTCCAACAAAACAGTGTTGAACTTGAGTAAGTTCTTTACTTGTTTTGGTGCTCTAAAAAACTTTATGTTTCAGGGAATTGGATCCAAACTGATAAGACTCGAATATCGATCCACTCTTTTTCAATGTAAACTATACTCAAGATTTATATCAAAATGTGTTAGCTGTATAAGATGATGCATTTGTGATTAGGGCTTGATTTATAATTTAGGGAAGGGAGCCCCAAAAGGTAACTGTAGGTATTCCCTCAGGTATTGGTGCAGAACGCAGGATACCTTCACACATCTCTATCCATGTAAGCCCCACAAATGTGAAAGATGTCTTTTGAGGTAATTGATATCTCATATGGTTCCCATGTTAAAGACAGATATAAATTTGTCAGATTGTGAGGGAGAATTGATTTAAGGCGTATATTTAATGATTTATTCTTTTTTAGTGGACTGCAGCACCAGACAAACAGTGAGATCACACAGGAGAGTAACAACTTTTTTTCTGACATCACATCCTGAAAATAATACGTCCCCTTTGTCAGATGTTTGATCCCAAAACTTTATTAAGAGAAAAAGTGTCCCCATTTACGGTCCAATTCAAAATATATTCAGGTCAGTGGAAGTTCAGACATGTAGGACCTTGTCTTTCTGAAAATTAGCTAGATTCAGAGAATCAGAACACTTTTACTTTTTTTTTTCCTTTTTTTCCCCCAGACCTCAATAAATGTATGCTGATGGCTCTAGAAGCTCGTGGAGTTATCTTTTTCACATCGTGCCTACAGTCAGGAATGGCTGATCCTGTGAACTACCCTGGGCATTGCTGTTCATTGACAGGACCATCACCACACTGCATACTGAGCTGCAGTAGATCCATTAACTACTCCATAGCTTATATTCATTTAAATGACTGGCCTTGAACAGCACCAGTGAGTTGATAAGACTTGGTAGCAGTAGAAAATTGGTAAGAAAGCATTTCACTGCATCTTCAGTGAGTAACACCTCCAGTGAACAATAATCACCGATCTTTTGTTACCTCTACCAAAAGGAAGAGGAGTGCCATGTGCAGTTCTGAATTGCATTAGCTGCTTGGTTAAATATAACACAAGGGCAAACATTAGGAAAGCAACATGAGAGATACCTACTTTTCCTTTGACATGTTTCAAATGTCCCACCAGACATTTGCTAGATTTTTTACTACAATTTGACTAATATTTTAACCAAAAGAAAACAAATTAAATATTGAAAATTGCATGCAACACCATTGATTTCTGTAGAAAAATAAGTAACCAATAAGGGCAATAGAACAAATAGATATTTAAACTACTCACAGGGTTCTGCTGCTATTCCAAATGCCTTTCAACTGAATCTTCCTTTTACAGGCTTCTCTCAGCTCCAATCCTTCACCAAGACTTGATATACAATTGCAGTTCAAAAGCAGCTTTACTTCCAATTTATTGCTGTTTTGAAGCAGGACTCCATCCACTTTTGCTCCCAATCTTTTAATTTCCTATTTGTTTGCTTTTTACAATATTCTCCTTTACTGCCTTTCTCCCATTCACACAATGTGACAGTAACTTGACATATGACAATCAATCTCAGCACTTTCCTTATTGCACTATTCCCTATCCTTCATGTACCTCAGCATCCTAACTTCAAAAACTTGGTGAATGTTCAACGTGCCTCATTGCCAAATCTGTTACTAAGGGTAATAAAATGTCACTTTCCACTAAGGGAATGCTATGGGGGGGGGGGGGGGGGGGGAATCCTAAACGCTGTTAATATCTGAACATAAATTGCACCTTGATTACTCTTTCATCTGCTACTTTACCATCCCTGGCCAGTTGGTACCCTTTCACATGAACATTATCACATTTATTGGCCTGCCTTTCTAATGTATGTCACACTTTTCTAGTGCTTCAACATGACAGCAATACTGACCATCACAAACATATACATATATACACCATCCACAGCTGGCTGAAAGGAGAAGCATTTTTCACTGCAACTTTGCAAACCAATTACTCTTTCTTTAGCTATAAATTCAAAAGTTGAAATACTTGCAAACATCTTTAACTGCATTTCTGTTATGCTTAGAAACTTCCTATCTTAATCGTTGTTATAGACACTATTTAAAGTGAACATCAATGGTCACTAAACATTTTAAGATTGGCGAGATTCCACTCTAGCAACATTTGAAATGACACATGAAACAGACACCTGGAGCCCATTTTAAACTGGCATAAACTGATATATGAGGGCTATTCTCACATCTCTTACAGCCCTCCACTCATAATTAGCTAAACTTTATCAGGTCACTTCTGGGTCTCTGAGACAAACCAAGAAGGAAGAGAGAAAATCTGTATTACCAGTAAATGCAGGAATTAAGTTGGAGGTCTCCATACTAATTCTTTTGGTGGAAAGCAGCAGAGGCACTTTTTTTCTTTCCAGAGGATACAGGAGTGAGAGGCAATGACACAATTCTGTGTCCACAGGGATGCCCAATTAGAAGTTACTGAACTCTGAATTTTCACCTTTCAGCTCCCTGCATATCTACATAATAAATAAGATGCCTTAATGTGGAAAATAATTCCTTTTACAATATTTTAAAATTATCCCTATGGACCAATTGCCAGTCAGCTAACAGTCTACAAATTTACAATTGAAATTAAAGGACTAGATCCTAATCTGAAATTATACGAATAAGGACAAATTATGGTGCCACTAATCAATCTATTACACATTTTGGTACTTTCCTTGTTCATGCTTGAAACCATTTTAGGATGAAGAAAACCCTAGCCTTTGACTGAGGAC